AGCCGCTGTGGAAACTGACCAGCGGCTGACTTGGGGACGCCTGGGGCAGAGCAGCTGGGGTGCTGCCGGGTTGGTCCTGCAGCGCCGAGGGGCGCATCCCCCCCACTCCACCCCAGACCCCTCATAGCCCCCCCTTCTGATAGTCCAGCATATCTGATAATCTGGCACCCCCTGGGTCCTAAAGGTGCCGGATTATCAGAAGTTTACTGTACAACCAGAAAAAAAAATTCTGGCATGAGCCTGGGGCAGAGCAGCTGGGGTGCTGCCGGGTTGGTCCTGCAGCGCCGAGGGGCGCATCCCCCCCACTCCACCCCAGACCCCTCATAGCCCCCCCTTCTGATAGTCCAGCATATCTGATAATCTGGCACCCCCTGGGTCCTAAAGGTGCCGGATTATCAGAAGTTTACTGTACAACCAGAAAAAAAAATTCTGGCATGACAGGATGGAAATAATATTTGTTTTTTAAAACTATGTGTTTTCCTCCCTCTCATTTTGATCAAAAAGGGTGTGTCTACAATACAAGATTAGGTCAAATTAAGATACACAACTTCAGCTACATTAATTGCATAGCTGACGTTAAAGTACCTTAACTCGACTTTTGGTGCTGTCCACACTGCAGGAAGTCAAAGGAAGAACACTCTCCCTTTGACTTCCCTTACTCCTCGTGGAAACAGGACTATCAGCATCGACTGGAGTGCCACTCTCAGTTTGAAAGTTTCAGAGGGGTAGCTGTGTCTGCAACTGGAAAAACTTAAAAAAAAAAAACCAAATAGTCCCTGCTCTGTGCTATTTATTTGAAAACTGGACCCCTTAAACTCTATTCATCTGAAGTGAGTTGTGCCCACGAAAGCTCAGGATCCTATCTACATGTTTTGTTAGTCTCTAAGGTGCTGCAAGACTCTTTGTTGTTTTTCTCTCAGTTTGAATTAACTGTCTTAACTAGACCCAGTAATCGAACCGTGGAAGATTGACAGAGGCGGCTTCAATCGTTCTCTGTAGTGAAGATGTACCCAAAGATGTTACATTTTAGTTTTCTAAACGAGTCACTTTTGTAAAAAACATTCTGGCCTTACCCTGCCATGAATGCAGAACTCCTTTAGAAATCAAGATAAGCGGGTACCTTAAAGCTCTGTTATTAGGCACTCAATTAACAGAAAGCTCAATTAAGTGGCATTTCTGATCTCTCTCAAGACAAATCTCCAATGTAGTAACCAGGACTAATGTATTGCCCAGTACATTATGCAATTGCATGTTCTGCCCTCCACTTCTATGCAAAAGAAGCAGAAGAAAAATACACAAGCTGAAATCAGGGATTTATTCTAAAAACAGCATCCAGGTTGTGTCATAGGGTCATTACAGATTCAGCCCAATCTCCTACACTTTCTACAGCTACAATGGTAATGAATATTGATAATGATCCGTCTGAGGCACTGCAAGATCCTCAAGTGTCTTCTGAATAATCAAGGATTAAATTATATTCAGTGTAGTTTTAGTGTTAACTGTATTTTCAGTGATCTGATTGTGCACCACGTGCTGCCCATAGTGATAAGTAGCGTCATAAAAACCTATTGTATAGAAAACTATACCTGTATATATCTCAGTGCTTCAAGAAACCAACCACTCTCCAATGCAGTACTACCCTGGATTTGTGAGTACCTTTACACTATTTTATAATATTCTAATTCTTTGAAAACTGGCATTTCATTGGCAAAATATAACTCTCAGTTAGCCAGAATATTCAATTAACTGGTACTCTCCACCCCCACACTTGTTGAATAAGCTTTTACTGTAACTGGATCAACTTCAGGAGTGGACCACCCCCCTCAAAATACTGTCTATTATATCTATGTGTTTAATATTACATACTATGTACACTTCCATGTGGATTCATGCTGGGCACACCCAGCCTTGATGAACTGTGGCTGTATTGGAAGTTGGGCTGCATTGAGGTCATCGGTATAGCCATAGGATAATCCTGGTTTCTCTGTCCTCTTTCTCTGTGACCTTCATAGGAATCGTACAAGGAGTCATCATACGGTGAGGAATCATGAAAGGGTTGGTGAAACCCCTCTCTACAGAGAGCAAACAAACCAAAAGGAGGGAATAACGGTGAGTGGAAAGATAAGATACGGCTATTTACCTTTGGGTCTGGATGTGCAATATTCAAAACAATTTGACAAATAAATTATGTATCATCTTATTTTAGCAGGTTTTAAAACATTTTCATAAAACACAGTGCTTCGAATCCAGACGGCCAAGTTCTGACATATGCACCAATCATCAACTGAATTAAAAAGACTAAAACTTCAGCCCCACTGAAGACAGTGGAAGGATCACTCTAGGTAAGTATATACATAAGTATTTGTAAAATCAGGCTCCAAGTGTCAATCATGCAGCAAACTTATTGACTGCATATCTGCTGAAAAGCTGACGAAACCATGATACTATCTTTTTTGTTTTTAGTTAGTCTCTAAGGTGCTATGGGACCTTTCGTTTTATTTAAGTTTTTTTTAGTTAGACTAACACGGCTACCCCCGCAAGATTTTTCAACAAATACCTGGTGCTTTCAACTATGAATCGTGGAACATATCAATCACAATCTTAGAGCCAATATGACAAATGTAGAAATGTAAAAATACAGAGTAGTTGATGTACTATCTTTCACCAACAGTAGCTGGTCCAAGACAAATTTTGAGCGACACAGAGCTCTCCTTCAGATCTGTACTTTCCACCAACAGAAGTTATCTTCTATCCTGGTACCTACATGGCTACACTACCACTGCAAAAGATAGAATCCACAGACAGACAGTCTCTGTCAAGTAGGGCTTAAAATGGCAAAAACAGAACTGGTCACCAGTTCTGCCCCCCTTTTGCCCATGAGTTCTAAACATTCAATTGCCTTTATGATCAACAATACTATTGGTGAGAACTTTTATAAATTATTACTCAAAGTTTACCTATTGTCAATCTCCAATGTCTCTGAATAGTAATAATCTGGGTCTTCAAAAGCTTCATTATAGTGGTAAGACATGGTGAATCTGATGCCTTGATTATGGGTGAGAAATCTTCACTTGAAGTCTTTATTGCGTCAGTATTACTTTAGCAGGTGATTCATTTTAAACCTAAAGGAAGACAAAAGTTAGATCCAATAGATTTTCCATCTAGAAGCAAAGAACAAAAATTATAAAGGACAGCATCAGAACAAGAAAAATGGTTTTACTTTTCTTGGACTAATAATCAATAAAACAATAAGATCTGTAAAAATGGAGAAAAGTCTCAAGTGAATACAGTATAGCATTCTCTGGATCCTATTTACTCTCTGGACAACATGTATTTACCGGTAGTTACAAAAATCACCTGTTTCACTATCTAGAAATACAGTCCTCGTTTAAAATTTAAAGCACTAGACTTGAGCATGAAAATTTTCTGTTGTGATACATGGTCAGAAAGGGTTAAGTATCCTGTAGGATAAATGATCCAAAATCAATCCTTAGGGAAATACTGGTAGATAATGTTTGTGGCTTTGTGTGTTTACAAATATAATGCTAGAGATTAACAATGTAACCAAATGGTTCCTATTTATACTGCATTCACCTCTCTTTAAGGTATAAAGCAAATCATCTGCTAATGATGGGCAACTGTCTTATGTTAATCCATATAGCTAATTACCAATGATGCTTGAGAGATAGGCAACCAGGGAGACTTCCAAATAGACCTCTTGTTTACCCAGTAATGAATGGGCAACAGGCTGTTAGAAAACTGTATAAAAGACCATTGAGACCTGATCCTTTTTGGAGTCAGGTCCACTTAAGCTTCATCAGGGAAGTTTGAGTAGCAAGACTGAGATCTCCCAGCCTGCTTGAATTCATCCAGAATATGGACTATAACCCATGGACTAATTCTGTAAGAACTATTTGCAACTACAAAGCTCAACATCTCTACTATGCACCTGATCTCTGAACCGTGTTTGTGTCTGTATGTATGTAGATCTCTTTTAATCAATGCATTCTTTTATTTTTAATTAATTTAATTTAGTTAATAAGAATTGACTGTGTCTTTTGGGTAAAATCTGAAATATTAATTAACATGGAAGGCAAGGTTTTTAATCCTTTGGTTTTGGTAGAACTTTCTTATATGATGAATAAGATCTTCAGTGAGTCTCTTCCTATTTGATTTGGATGTCATGGTGGAGGCCTAAGATGGGTTGCTTAAGTTTAAGGATGATGTGTTGTTGGCTTCTGGGTAACCAGTGAAGTATCACAGAGACTGTTTTATTCTGGGTTGGTAAATCTAAGTATCGGAGTATCCACCAGCTTGTGGGAGTGGCTACTCCATTCTTTGAAGTTCACCCTAATTGAGTGATCTCAAATAGCTCCCCTGGGGACCTGAGTCACTTGTGTAAAAAAGATTTTTCCCAGTATTTTGACAATATAACATTTTATTTTATTTTTTACAAATGTATAACAAACCAGTGGTCTCGGACCTGAATCTCAAGCATCTTGTAGAGAGGTGGTTAAGCATCGTTGGCTCATTACATCAAAAAAAAAAAAAAAAAAAAAAAAAAAGCACACTTTTACCTCAAGATGACTTGTACAGTTAGATAGTTTAATGAGACAAGGCACTGTAATTTTCCCCCCCATGTAGGTAGACCAGGTCAACCCTGAGAGGAGAGAGTATAGTCACTGAGTGCTCAGAAAGGGATAAACCCAGCAGATAACACCCCACAAAGATATCCATGTTTATATGAAAATAAATTAGTAAAAAAGACAAGAGTGTTATACAAGTTTGTATTTGTGTATATCAAGTCACACAGCTGTATCCAGATTAACGCCTTTGAGTAATTGGCAATAAAAACGGTCCTCAGCAACTTAATATAGTCTGCAGTTGCCCATCCCACTTTGCTAACAATTACTGAATGGAATCTAGTGTTTGACCAGAAGCGCTTAATGCTAAACATTCCATGTTGTTCCAGCTACAATCTCATGCATATCAAGACAGACCAAAGACTGCAAATGACTTAATATGTTACTTTAAGTCAGTAATCAGCTAACCAAAGTAATCAGTTATGCAAGTGTACATATTTTTATATATAAAACCCAGAACCTAATCTTTCTTCCTTGCAGCAGGTAAAATAGGGGTTTTGCTTGAGGAAGAATTGACTCCCAGTTAATATAATAGTGAAACTTTTTCTTTGATAGCATGTGATACATGTTTTTATGAATTGGCATGTGCTAGATAAAAATAATCATCTGCCTGTTTTTTGGGTCATTAACACATTTGCCCCACACCCAACTTAAAAGCATAGAGTTTAAAAGAATTGCCACGTTTACAGTATAGTTACAGTCTATAGTGGAGAGCTAGCTGCAAAAACAGAATTTCCGTTCCATAAAAACTACATTTTTAGAAAACTAAGCCATTTTTGTTTTGATTCAGGACAAAAAAAGTAAAAAAAAAAAAAAGTTAATTTTTCACATAAAGAAGATTTTTGAGAATCTGATTTGAGAGAACCAAAACAGAATTTTTCAGTTTAGTCCCTGGGCTGCCTATTCCCATAAGAACTGGGAGCCGGGCAGTCCACCAACTTTCTACACTAAAGTTTTGATGAATGTGTCAATTCCATCGACTCACCATTTTCCAACAAAAGAATGTTGTGTAAGAAAAGTTTTGACCAGCTCTACTTCTGAGACACGGGATGCTCTCAACAGGAGATTCTTTCACAAGAAGCCTACTGTAGTAAAATATAGTAAAAACTATGTGTGCTTCTTCCCCCTTCCATTACTTAAGCTTGAAACAGCACATATCTAATTGCGCATGTTTTAGAAGCTGTAGTAAAAAGGGGAACTAGCTGTTTAGACCCATTTCTCAAGGACTGGATTACACGTATTACTTGAGTTAGGGGAATTTGCTAATTGCTATTACTTAAGTAAGCTGTACTGGTGGTTGTTACTGAGTGGAATAGAGTTGAAATATGCTAACCAATAACGCTGCAACACGAAGCTAAGGTAACAAATCAAGACGTGCCAAGTTGGATAAGAAAGTTAAAGAAAGTATAAAAAAGGATGCTTAGCCAACGCCCAGGGTCAGCTTTGCTTTGAGCAATAGCTCCTTGGCTGACCATTGCTTGCAAACAATAAAATGGAGTTGGACCCAGCCTGAAAGTGTGACTCTCTTCTGTGGGCAAATTAGACTGGCCTCCAGGGGACGAACCTTGCAATTTATGCAACACTACCTCCCCGTGGGAAACAGTCAGACAGACACAACAGCAACCTACCACCTCTCTTTCTTTTACTAAAAAATAAAGCTCAGCCATGACGACTGGCAAAGCAACCCTGAGACATAAACTCATGCAAAATAGGTCCTATGCCCCATGGTCTCCATTCCATTCTCTTAAATTTCTTAGAATGCAGCCAGTACCATTATTTCTCTGTGATGCACTGGTGTGGGATGGGGCTTACTGGGGGAATTTTGTGTCATGACATGTGCGCAGAATTCATGTCCCCCACAGATTTCTATGCATTCCCATAGAAAAATGACTTCTTACAGGGAAACCAAAAGAGCAAGCATGCACCCTCTCCCTGGCAGTATAAACAGGTTACCTTGGGCATCCCAAGCAGCTGGTTGAGACATAAATCACTATGGGGTTTGGGTGTGAGGGTGGGCAGTCATACCTGTGTGAGAGACACACACACACTCTCTGTCCCTCTTGTTCTCTATTGTGGTATGCTAGGCATGCCTCTTCTAAAACACTAACTAACTACACACCCACTGGGCAGGCTTTTAAGACATGTGACTCCATTGGGAGAAAAGGGAATATAAGAACTAAAGTAAATTACTGGTGGTGGTGAGTTCTTAATCTGAGCATCTGAAGAAGCCAGTGACACTCTGCTCTGTGGCTTATTGGACTGTGAACCAGAGGGCTCTCACGGCAACCAGGGGTTTGCTTTGTGGCAACAGAACAGAAATCTGAGAACAGAAGAGGAGCCATCTCTAGACTGTCCAATGTTTGTGAAAGAGAGGCTTGCTTAGAGGAATGCAGAGCTCCAACTGTATTGTTGTGTTTAATATAGGGGCTACATGCCTGCTATAACTCTTTTACCATTGCTGTAAATTCCTTCTCAATAAACTGCCATGTAGGTTTGGATTAAATTATTGTGTTTGACCTTTTTCCACTGACAGCAACACTAATTAGTTACACCAAAAGCGTTCCAAGTAAGAGGCTTGCTTAGAGGAATGCAGAGCTCCAACTGTATTGTTGTGTTTAATATAGGGGCTACATGCCTGCTATAACTCTTTTACCATTGCTGTAAATTCCTTCTCAATAAACTGCCATGTAGGTTTGGATTAAATTATTGTGTTTGACCTTTTTCCACTGACAGCAACACTAATTAGTTACACCAAAAGCGTTCCAAGTAAGACA